TTACATATACATATAAATGCATCTATAGGGCACATCTCCATAGACACTTCACAGTGGTCCTAACACAGAACACAGTACTAACTAGTTAGTCAAATGCAAGTCACATTTTTATTGGCATATCCATCCAACACTGGCTAAGAACTACGTAAATTAACGGTTTGGGGTCTTAACATCTGTCAGACGTGTGACACAAGAAACCCATCACATATATGTACACTGCTGCCTGTTTTTAAATCTGAGTTTACTGACTCCACTCATTAGCGTGAGAGAAAAATGAGGAAATTCCACCGCAGGCAAATTTAAAAACAAGCAGGCATGGTTTGAAAACTCCACAAGTGTTTTTGTGGATGATTTTGTGGGTGATTTCAAAGTGCTCATGTGTGCGACTCGTTGGCAGAGTTTTCACTTTTGTTTCATTTACGTGAAGATTCACTTTGTGACCAAGAAAGTGAACAGAAACGCTGGTCATTGAGTACCCAGCTCTAAGTGCATGGCATCATTCAACTATTAAATCTTAGTGCCAACTGGTACTGCATGGGACAACAGGGACAAGTCAGACCTCAGCTGTACCCAGCACCACAGAACATCATTCAAGCTGTTTTTTACATTGGCCTGAATAGGTCAGATCATGGCATTTAGAAACCACGAAGGGAAAAAAAAGAAAACCTATCAGACCACAAATTAAATGCAATATCCCCCAAGGGGGAATGGAGCATATATTTGGACTAATTCTACACTTCACCTTAGTCCAAAGGGCTAAGTGCGCCTGGAGATGAATAATTTTTCTGTAAATCCTTAGCCTGGCCCTGGCTGGCTTAAGAAATCCTGATGGAGATATGTGGTCACCTTGGATACCCTCTCTGTGAGGTACAGCCTGAAACCCCCTGGTGCAAATAATTATCTGCATATTTCTGCCGTTGCTGGCTTTAAATTGTTCACATTTCTTGTAAACAGTTTGTCAGTGTGGGCTGCAGTTGTTTTGGTCCTTGTGCTGGTGTTAAATGACGTTTAATATTTGATTTTTCATTGAAAGTTGCACAGCACAGACAACCCCCTGCCCTCCCTAAATAATTTCCCAACTTGTCGGTATCTCTTATGTCTTCTACGCGGGAAAGCCCAAACTGCAAACATCCTCGGGTCTATTTTCAAAATCTTCCACTGATGTTTTTTTATGATGTGGCTTTTGGCAAGTGCCTTAACTTTCAAGTACCCTCGTTCTCTCAATCCATAAAACATAGAAAATATTCCTGTCTGAGAGCTATGTAAAACTAATTAATTACCATGGTTTGGAGACTAAGGTTTTTGAAATAAAAACCACACCAAATTACTAAGATTAAAAATTAAATGGAATTTGGATCAGCACGATGAGATGACTGATTTTTAAAGACAGCTAAAAATGCCATTACTTTTGTTCAAAACAAATCACTTTTAATACTTTAGAGAGTTGGTTTTTTTTAATCATAGCAAAAAAAACAACAACAAAAACGCAGGAGCACTAAAAGTCTATTTTTGGTGTAACTACTAACAAGAAAAAGTAAACAGAATATAATTTTGAAAAATATTTTTAATTATCTCAAATATTGTAATCCAAATATAATGTATGGTGCTCTTTTATTTTTGTTGGATTTTGAAAACATTTAGTTTCCCTTTTCCGCATTCTATAAAGCAACATTTGCTTACTTATTTTCCAAATGAAAATACACCATGCATTCAAAACTATGATTTAATAAGCTTTCTCTGGCTCTAGTTACTACATTAAAATAATCTACACTAAGTAATCAAATACCCATATTAATTGACTGCATCTATATAATTGTTTTGTTTTCTGGGATACTCCTAATATAGTTAGGAGGGTTAAAAATTCCATCTATTCTTGTGAAATTTAGAGTGGGAAAACATTTTTTCTTTCTTTCTTTCTTTCTTCCTTTTTTTTAAAATTTTTAAGGCTACTGTTCTCCTTAAGGAATTGACAGAACTTACCTTACTTTTATACCTCTGTTCTCCCAGTTTGAACTGGACAAACATCTCTGTCATGTTGCCTCCTGAGACTTTCTTCCCTTCCAATAGTGTTATACTTATAATCCCGTTCCAGAGTTGGTTCTTTCTCAAGGAGTCTGAGAGCCGCAGGTTGCGTATCAAAGAGGACTATAGCAAAAAAATAATAATAATAATGAAGATGACAGATCAACTTGCTGGAGATTCCTGAGTGTGACTTCGGTGATCAGAGGCATTCCAACTTTCAATGTATGATTGGAAATAGCACTCTGCTCCCTGCCTGGTGAACGTGTTTTTATTCTTCCTTGGTTGTGCAAATCTGCAATCACAGCTATGTGGTTTCCTTTTCAAGTACTGGGCTTCTAGCAATATAGGGAAGGGTGAATATGAGTAACACTTGCATCGGACACTGGCCTGCACTCCCACCCAGCTCCTTTAACTGGACCTTTGGCTATTTTAATAGCAGGCAGGGGAAAGAGGCATTCTGGGAAAGAGAGATATAAGAATAAGGCATTGCCTTGCAGGAAACGAAATACCTCTGGGCATTGAGAAATAATGATTTTGAATGTATCTTTCACACCTGAATCTGTCCCCACTTCCCTTTACTCCTTGGGCTACTACTACAAAGCTCTCAACTCCAGGTAGAGCCTGCAATCTAACCAACTAGCCAGCCAAATGAGCTCTGCAGAGCTGGGGGGAGGGAAGGATGTATAAAGTACTTAGCACAGGATCTGGAAACCAGTAGGGGTTCAGGAACTGTTAACTTTTTTTTTTCCCCTTTTCTAAATTATGTAACTCACGTCCACTCACACACACCTTCAATGGAATACAGAAATAGGCAAACACCCCCATGATTAAATTATAAAGAGGACAAGCGCACTTTAGTTTTCATTTTCACGACATAAATTTTCACACACACACAAAGGTGGAGAGGCTAGTATACGAAGAAGTCTCCATGTGCTTATCCACCAGATTCGACACTTTGCCAATCTTATGTCCTCTATCACGTCGCTGTTTGGTTTTTGGTTTTTTGGTTTTTTTCCTGGCTGGAGTATGTGGAAGCAAAACCCATATTTGTTTTTACATAAGCACCGCCCCATGAGCACAGTCAACAAAAGTAGCCCTAATTCCTCAAATATCGTTAAATACCCAGCACATTTTCCTGACAGTCTCAGCTATGTCTTTTCATGGTTAGTTGGTTTGAGTGAGGATCCCAGTACGATCCACACGCTGCGTTCAGTTGGCGGAGTTCATTTATGCTCTCCATTCAGTAAGGGACACGGCACGGGCACGGGATGCTTTATTTGCAGGAGAAATAAATGGAGTGAGGAATGTGAATGGCGCCAAGTATCACTGTTAAGCGATGAATTTCTAACACTATATATTCACTCCTGTCGTCTGCTCAGTCTATCTTCGAGGACGTTTGGACACCAATTTGCCCAGACATGAGTTAGTCACAATTTATCACAACAAATGGTATGTCAGTACCATATTAATTATGTACCAGCTTACCTCATCCAACACACGTCACTCTGCCACTCTGAATAAATGATGCCACACTGACTGCTAGGGCTGATCATTTTATAACTGCCTTAAACACAATGCATTTAAGGAAATCTTTACTCCCAAACTTCATATCCACGTTGCTTTTCTCTTGAAATGCACACACGCAGAAACACACACACACACACACACACACAAACACAAACACACACACACACGCGCGCGCGCAAACTCACACACACGGTTTTTGGAGGAGCTGAGACAGAGAAGGGAGGGCAAATAAGAAAAGAATTAATTGTAAAAAGAAAAAAATAAAATAACCACCTCGTCCGGAGAACATGAAAAAGTCTTAACTTCTATTTACAGGTGGGTTGTGGATCCAATATATTCCATAATCAAAGTTTATTAAATAGTTAAAGTTAAGCAATTTGTATTTGTTAACAATCACACACATCATCACACTATATTGGTAGACAGATAGACACGTATATAAATATACATATATTTATATATGTGTGTGTGTGTGTGTGCACAGAGATATATGTACGCTTAATACGTTTTACAGCTTTTTAAGCCTATAGGCTGAAAACTTCTATCTTTAAAAAGAAAATGAGATTTTGATTCATACGTCCTGCTGCAACTTCCTTTTTTGTGTTTTTTTTTCCTTCTTAAAGTTTGACTTGCCAACCAGCAAGCTAATGCATGACCTGTCCCATGGCCATGCTTCAAAGTTCCGACAGATATATTCCTCCCTAAACACTGAAACTATTTCAAGATCCTTTTTCTAAAGAAGGGAGTAACGTCCATGGGGGATCAAAGGCCATCCTACAGTCTGGCAACTGCCTAAGAAAAATGGCCGCGCTTCCATGAAATATGCCCTAAAATAATTGTGCGGCGTGGTATGTCCTAATTTCAAATTGGATGTTTATCTTGGAAAGGCTTCTATCTAACTTGTCCATAAAACAGCCCTACTTAGCTCTGTGAGCTCTGTGAAAATGGAATCCAACGCTGGTTATTAAGGGGGCGTAGAGATGGATTCCATATGGCCGAACAGCATGGGAGGCCAGGGCCAAGGCCCACGCCAGGCGGGGCTTGGCTGCAGCGCCTGATCTATCCATGGACACTTGCCGCATTACACCATAACATCTGGATTATTGCTTGTAATGTCCCTGGGAAATATCCACTTTCCATCAAAGCCTTTATCTATCTCCATCGGACTTTGAACATTTTAGCATTTAACGAAGTCATGTTGGATGTGACGGACTCGCCCTTGGCTGTCCAAGATGCTTTTTCTTTTTCTTTTTTTTTTCTCTTCCCTTACGAAAAGCAGGGTAGGAAAAGTTTTGGGTTTTTTTTCTTTTTTGCACAGTTCACAGATAGAAAAGAACACAAGTCTGTTATTCTACTTATTTCACCCTAAATATTCCTGCAAAGCCCACTATAGGGTTATGTCCAAATAAAGTTTCATCTGCTATAGCTATGTATTTTGAACGTGTATATGGGCTCTAAAAAAGCTTCTTAATTAATGTAACATTCCTCTTCCACCCTGGAGACTGGGGATGGGGCTTCAGAGTGGAGGAGTTTCGTTGGGTGGGGGACGGAGTGGGGCAGCATCTGAGCCTTCCTGTATTGTGCTCCGGGTGCAGAGCTGGGCTCTCAGAACCTTTTGTGCTCTTCAAATGCTTCCTTTCTCCCCACAATAAATCGACTCCTTTGCACTCACTCTGTTAGCTCAATAGCTCAGGGTTTTCATGTCTGTGCTGGAGCCTGTAAGTGAAATTTGTCATCTTAATGCAGCTTGGAATGTGAAAGGAGGAAAGGAAGTGACCCATCAAAAGGGGAGCCCACCCCACCTGAACTGAAACAAACACCGGGAGATAGAGTAAAGTTTCTGGGTCCTGACCCTAATTTCTCAGCAGACATAACGGATAAAATATAGTGCATCAGGGTTTTGTTATTTTTCTCCTTCCTCCCAAAGGATCAGAACCTTTTACTATTTCTATTTTGATTCATTCATAGGATCTCTCCCTCTCCCTCACCCCCACCACACCACATCCACACCCATTCTTCCAAACAGAAAAAGTGGATTCCCTCTGAAAGACACAAGTGAGTTCTTACTAGGGAAAACAAGGGGTGCTATTTAACTTACAAATACACTGACTTTCATAAAAAATAAACCGGCTTCAGAACCATGAATTTACTTCCGGGTCATGAAAATCCAACAGACAAGGAAAAACGGGAATCAAGTAGGCAAGACCGAAAATATAAGCTGTGGAGCTCTTGCTCACTTCAGGCAGGTGGAGAACCCTCAGGAGTTTCTGATCTACGAATAAACTCTCAAAACAATGAATGCACTATCATTCCCGGGACTTATAAAGTGGATGAGAGTCTGGCTCCACGCATTCTATGAGATTTGGGCCAAGTGGGAAGATGATGACGTGGACTCCAGTATCCCATTTCCTTGGAATGGCTGCAGGGGAACCCCCAGAGATGATGGACATGGCGGTTTGGTGCCTCCTGTCTGTCCTGAGTCAGAGAGATCAGGAGTAAAGAAACACTGAAAGGGAGCCATGGAGTCCAGAACTGGGGCCTCAGCCTGTGGTCATCTGAAGCAACACCTATATTTCACTACGCCACAGTCCAGAGCTGACTATGCTGACCAATATCATGGGGTAATTATGCAAAATATTCCCTTGGGGGTAACAAAATACCAACAAAAAGTTTTAAAAGATAAAAGTTAAAAAGAGGGGCAGTGAGAAAATATTTTCGTAAGGTTTTTTTCTGGTAGGGCATACCTCACAGGTGCTAAATACGCTATGGGTACATTTCATGGCATCTCAGTTATGGAAGCGTAAAAAGAGATGCTCTGAGGTTGTCAACGCATCTTATTTTGACTCTCATTTATTATTTTTCTACGTCATTGTCAGAAAATGGGTAGTCAGTGAAAACAAACGCATGAAAACAATCAACGTTGTAGCTTTGTTGGCCCGGTTTAGGGAAGCTTAAGGGAGAACTTTCGGTCTATCAAAGGTTCCTGTGAAAAATTTGTTTCAAGCGTTTTCAGCATGTAAAACCACTGCTCATTGTCAACAGCTTTTATAGCGTGACATGAGAAGATCCATACACTCAAGCAGCAGGCTCCCAGAAAACCTCCTACCCGGCAGCTCCTTATATCATCTGAAGAGGATCCTGTAGGCATAAATTCTCCTGGAACTAACTACACAGAAATCTTTGCGTAAGGATTTAAAGAAAGCCTTTTAAATTTCCCACATGGACATGGACAGGGGAGGTGAGATTTATATCTGCAGAGGAAAATTATATCACAGTCTCGAGGATATGACTAATCTGTGTGTACAAAGATATTTGCTATAAAAGTTTTATATTCAGTGTAATATTTTTTTTAATTGTGAGGGATAATCATCATTCAATTTGTGCATTTAAAAATAAAAATCAGATTAAGAGATTAAAAAAATATTGATAAAGTCTAGAAATACCCAGCGACTCTCAGGGTTTAGGACCAGGAAAATGCTTCTAATGCATTTACTACTGTTAAAACATGAAGAGGGGTGGCCGGTTAGCTCAGGTGGTTAGAGCACAGTGCTCAAAGCACCAAGGTTGCCAGTTCAATTCCCACATGGGCCACTGAG